CACAAGGAAAAAAGATCTCAAGCTTAAGCTCAATAAGGTTAAAGCATATTCTGGCAACAAGTATAACGAGCAAGCAGATCAGCTCGCTAAACAAGTAACTCAACTACCAGCAATCGCATGGCATCTATTGAGTGGCAAACACATTCAAACCATTACCACCTGGTACAATAAGATAGTAGATATAGCCCCAAGAAACTTTATTAAGGAAGTTAACAAGACAGTGAATGTGAAAGCCTGGGTAAAAACCGGAAGAATATGACAGCTCTTAGGACAACAGATTGATCAACAAAGGAGCTATATCTGAAGGCAATTCTGGAGCAATCTAAAACTTAATGGACTGATCACATCCTTTAAAGAATGCAAGAAGAAAAGCTATTGGATCAAATTGTTGCACAACAAATTACCAACATTAGACAAACTCGAAATAAGAAAACACTGGCTTTACAGTACACACAATATTTGCAGAGTCTGTAGAATGGAACCCGAGACAAGAGAACACCTATTTACATGCTTAGGACTTGAAGAACATACCAGCAAAGCATGGTTAAAAGCCATGCAAAGGCTTACAAGAAATCTTCAAAAAGTCTGTAAAAACTCAACACATACACTAGAGACAACTAATCTAGATACAGTCACAACATACCTTATGCAAAAGGTGTTTTAGGAAAAAAATGAGAGGCTAAACTTTGCAATCGGATTAATATTAGAGAATCACACTACAGAACTTTGCAAACAAACAAATACCAAGATCTTCCAATCCAAGACCTGGCAACTGTTGTGCAAGACTGCCATCAGCTTCCTTAAGCAATTCAGAAAATCGACGTGGAGACACAGGTGCAGCATTACAATAGTAGCTGATCAAATAATGGGTCTGAATCTAAAGATCAAGAAAGGTCCCGCACCTTTGCCATCAATGGAACTTAGTTCAGACATGGACCTCAACCTGGAAAACCATATCTTCAGGTCCACAGAAATCAACAGTGCCATTAGTACCCAGTCATCAAATAATTAGAACAACAAAAGAAAGAAAAGGGGAGAAAAGACAAGATACAAGACAGAAGATTATATAAATAAACTAGACAAGGTTAGAGAACTAATACAAGAGTTTATAGAAAGTGGAAAAAAATGGTTAGTGCTTAAATAAAAACTCAACCTGGATTTATGGCATATGATCTGTAGAGATAATCTGCAGGCCTTGACTTTATTAAACAAATGGGATCTTAATCCCAATTAATGGATGAGCAATATATTATTTCCATAAATCGCATCTAGAGATTCTTTGTCACAGATGGGTGAACTGGGTCGGGGAAATTTATATATACAATTTATATTTGTAATGGTTTATTTTGATTTAATAAATAAATGATACCAACCTGATTGAGGGAAAAAAAAAAATAAAAAAAATAAAATAAAATTCAAAATACTATTAAAAATGATAATAAGTTATATTTATTTATTAAATTTAATATAAACTTGAGAATTATTAAAATTTTTAGAATTGAAATAACTTTAGACTAAAATATTTTTATATAACAAAATTTATTGTTATTAGTTTTAATTAAGATTAATAAATTTTTTTTAATAAATTTTTTTGTTTTAATTTCTTTTAGTTTATAATTATTAAAAAAATTAAAGGTTTCATTTTTATTTTTTTTTGAAGAAGCAAATAGCTATCGCGCTATCATTTATTATTATAATTTTAGACTTGCGGGTTACAAGATTTACAATGTGAAAAGCATGACATACATTTCTTTTTGCTAGGAAGAGTTAAATGCAGGACCTGTAAAGGCCACCCCTAAGTTCCTTGGCACCATTCAAGGAATACAGTAAAAAAGAATATTTAAAACCTATATTATGGCCTTAAATGGCATCTAGCTACCTAGAAATTAATTTGAATGTCTAATCACATAAAGGCACTGCAGCCACTTTATACAGGTTTGCCTCCAAGTCATGAATAGGACTGGCACACTTGCTTCTCAAATGTGGCTTAATGTTCGACAGGCGGAATAGTGTTGGGAAATTTTTTGTTTGTGATTACCTTTTCATATGAAGGTGTTACAGCCACTTTATACAGGTTTGTCTCCAAGTCATGAAAAGGATTTGGCACATCCATTTCTCAAGTGTGGCAGAGTGTTCCATGAGTGAAGTTTGGTTTTGGATTTCTTAAAGGTGTTGATACCTAATCTTGTATAATGAGATCTACATTGTCAGAGGGGTAGGTGAGGAACTTTCGTTGTTGTCACCAGCTCGTGTTGCGGGGGTAACTAGAATCCCTGGTCTTCACGTATTATCTTACTAAGTTCTCCAATCACCAGCATGACACCTGCAAACTAACCTAACTTACTGTTAGTTGTATTGGCATTGGCTGCCATATCTTTCTGGATACTGTGGAGTGCAACTCCTTGGATACTTTCGGATAATAATAGTTGTACACTGGTTTTTTAGATATATCTAGTCTAATCATCAATGAGTAAACAACACCGGATTAGGTAATAATGGCCATGTTGATCTTTTGAAGGGGGTAAACCATCTGTCCTTTTTCTGAGGAGTTATGGAAAGAAAACTTTTCATAGCCCACGTCTTGTGGAAACCTTGTCACTTCTTATATGATTCTTGAGAGAAAAGGGTCCACTGGCCAGAGGAGTGATGTTATGAAGGCAGAGTTTTCAAAAGAGAGAGAGGCCTAGGGAGGAAAACCTTCAGGGAAAAGGAAAAAACCTAGCTTCAGCAGGAAAAAAAAGGGGAAAAGGGAAGGGAGAAGTAAAAGTAAAAGAAAAGAGTATATAGAAGAGAGGGGAGAAAATAGGAGAAGGGAAATAAGGAGGTATAGGGAAGGGACATAGAGAGAAGGGAAAAGGAAAAATGAAAAAAAAGTAAACAACTCAAAAATTTCCTAAAAAAGAAATTTTCAAATGTAGAAAGGGGGAGTGGGAAAGAGTTTTTTTTATATTATAGGTTCCATTTTTATGTAGCTTAAATAAATTTGATTATAATTAAAAATTATTGAATACAATATATATAGGTTATAATAATTGTTTATTATATATTATATATTTATATATTTATATACTGTAAATAAAATTTTAATAATAAGTAATAAAAAACTAAAAAAATAAAATATATAAAACAAAAAATTCCATTATTATTATTATTATTATTATTATTATAATAAAATCTTTAATATAATTATATATATATATTAAAATAATCATATGTTTAATATTATTAATTTAATTGTTTTTACTTTAAAATATATATACTGTATATATATTATTTTAATGTTAATAATAATAATATTTTTGAAAATTACGATATTAGTTATTAAGTTTTTTTTTTAAAAAAGATTTTTTGTGTTTTGTATACAAAATAATAATAAGTCATATGATAGAATATATTAAAGGAAATTGGTAAAACATCCGAAAATTTTCTTAATATAATTATAAAAAATTATATTGCCGATTAACATTCAAACTGTCAATAAAAAAATTATAATTTATACATACTGTAACTGTGAATAATTATATTTAAGTATTAGAAAACAAATTCGTTATCATTTTTATATTGTTGAATATTTACCCTTATGACATTATATGAAATTTGAATTTAATAAAAAAGAATGGAATAAACTTTGAATCCGCCTACTACAATACTCACTCATCAAGTTTATTTACTAAATTCATCTATCAGAATTTATTTATTAATTATTATACTTCCACCATATCATGCCCACCTATCATGATCACACATAGCTTATGTATTGCTATATTCTCTATGTCTACCTTGAGTCCATCTACCATAACACCCCTCACAATCACTTCGTCGAATTTATCATTCACATCTTCAAGTTTCTCCTTTCACTATTACTATCATTCACAATCACTACACATCCATTCACTATAACTGACCTTCAATCACTTTGAGCCCGTCTTAAATCTCGATCGACCGTTATCAATTAGATCGGTGTGTTTAAAAATTTTAATGCTATAATGTATATGCTTATCTTCAAAATGAATTACCCATATGTATTTCCTTATGTGTCGTCTGTCATTGTGAATTAAAAAGTTTACGATCAACCAATTTCCCCTATTTATATTTGAACAGTCTCGAAATTAAGAAACAAAAAATGTCAAGGTTCAAATCTAACGTTGATTCTCCACCGGCTTACGAAGATATATACGGGAATCGAACTTCTTCCAACAGCCGTAGAAACAACAGACGCTTTAATATAGATGAAGAATCACACCCATTAGTTTATAGAGAGAATAATACCTTTAAAAAATGCGACCATGAATTAGGTAGTTTTTGTGCTATCATATTTTGTGGTTTGATATTCTTGGCAACATGCTTTATTATTGGAACCCATAATGAAGCCATAAAAGATCCTGACGATGTCACGAAAATTCCAAGGACGTATCAACTACGTTGGCGAAGCATTCTTGGTGATGATTATGCAATGATTATAGAATCTTATGATACGGATTTTATGAGTTTGTCTAAACCCTCCGGATATAATGAAACTTTCGACTTTTCTAACGCTAACGACACTAGCTTAGAGGACTTTAGAATAGAATATCCAATGAGAGCTCTCATTTTGGATAGAAATCGCGATAAGGGAGAATACAGGTATTTTTATAGCAAAATCTTGATTTTCTCCTAGTGTGACATGGTTAATTTTACCTTTTTTATGGATAGTGTCGAAGAATATTTTTACGGGCCATATCAGACAAATTACTATAAAAGGATAATAACCGCAAATGCTGAATTTATGGGAATTTGGCCGGCAGAAGTTTTAATCACCTTTACATCAAAAGGAACTAATCGTGATCCCACGTTTATAAAAGTGTGTGACTACATACTATCGTATTCAAAAGACTTAACTGGCAAGATATTGCGTAGATGTTCGAATGCCTTAGAAACGAAATTTTCAGTACAGGCGTATGTTTCTGGTAGTGTCGATGATGGATTGCATTTTATTGAAAAAGAATACAGTGACGTGTGGTATGCTTTTACTACCAAACCGTCGTGGTTCCTTAATCATAAAAGCAGGTACGAATGAAATTGTTATATTGCGAAATAAAAAATGAATTTTCTTTTTATTAAATAAAAAAATTCTATTTAGGGATGTATTTGTTACTGAAGATGCTCCTTTTCCACCCATCATTCCTGCGTTATATTCACTTTATCATGATTTTGTGAAAGACCTTAAAGAGTCTATTGTTAAGGATGTTAAAAGTATGGTTTAGTCCTAACTAGTTAGACTAGTTTAGTTTAAATAATTTGGACGGTTCAAACTTAAGATTAGAACCAATAATTTATTATATGCAAAAAATTTATTCTGTAAATCAATATCATTAATTTTTACTGATCCAGAGTTATACCATGTTTTAAGACAAAAACTTCCTCGCACTTTTTCATGGTAATACTTTGCAATTAAAAAAATTCTTTCTCTAAGAACATTGGTTGCTTGGGGAACTAAATAGGTGTCTATTTTGAATCTACCGATTTTAGCTTCCAACACATAAAAAGACATTTACATTTTTATCAGGGATACATCTAATATATTATGGCAACATATTTCATAGTTTGCACAAGTCTACTTTTAAAATAACTCAGTTAAATATATTTGATTTAAATCTCTAATTACGAATTTCCTCGATAGTTGTGTACATACAGTATGTATTATATGTTAAACCAATTACCTGATATACCTGATATTTGTTGGTAAGTTTAAAAGTCGGTTGATGGATCAAGCAAAATAAATACAGAAAGATCGGTTTGCAATTCTTTTTTCAATATTTGTTAAAAAATGAACTCAATAACTTTACATATAAATTTAAAAGTATTATAATTATATTAATTTTTTTTTAGTTTTAATTTGTCAGATATAATTGTTTAAAAATAATTTTAATACCACAAGTATATCAATTCGTTTCTTAAATTTGGTATATTGTAAATAAAATATTAAATTAAAAATTAAAGCTAAATTTCCGAAATCTATATCTTTCAAAGAAATAAAAATTTTTTAGTTTTATTTAGCTTTTAAGTCATAAAATTAATTAAAAATAACATTTACCGTATATAATAATATTAAAAACTTTATTAAGTAATCTAAATACATTATATTATTAAATATAAATATAAAAATTATTATTTATTTTTCAAAAACATAATTAATCAAAAATTTTAAAAAATAAAAAAATATATATACATGATGTTGTCAAAAGTATATTATTTACTGAAACTTTCAATATCTTTGTTTTCTAAATAATTCTTATAACTAATTTGGTTTTGAATCTATTATTAACAAGATTTTTATTTCATAATTTTTCTTTATACTAAATACAATATATCATATTACATAAATTATTTTATTGACTTGAATATTTATTTTAGACTAATATTTCTAATTATAATTTATTATTATTTATTTAAATTATTTTTATAACTTTAATTATTTCTTTTGATTTATATTTAAATTAATAACTTATTTCAAATTTAAGTTTTAATTTTTTTTTTTAAGTAGATAAACATCATCATTTTATTAATTATATAATTGTTTAAAATTTATACATGGAGAAAATAACAACATCTCTTATATAACTTGCTATGCTAATAAATTTAATGCTAGCTTGTCTATATAAACTATCTAAGCAGTAAGAAAAATAGATATTAAAATATTATACATCTAAGATAGTACTGAGCAGCTATAAATACCTACTCAGGTTTATATATAGAAAAATTATAAGAAATAAAAAATTGAAGAAAAAAAGAAAATACTAAACAAAAAAATAGATACAAAAAAACCAATTATAAAGCTATCAAATAAAATCACTAGGCATGCTATGCTAATAGTTTCATTTAACTAAAATATAATAATTGCACTTTCAAAAATAGCCAAGCTACTGTTTAAAGTATACAATAGTATTGATAATATATTTCTTTAATAGATAATTAATTGTAGTGATAGTATTGTTATTATTATAATATGATTAGTAATCAGTTTATTTGTTAGTAGTGTGATTTTATTTTGGTTATTGTTATCAGAAAAGATTTTGTTTATATCAATTAATATATAATATTTTGGTTATACAAATTTATTTGAAAATTAATAATATTTAATTGATTAAGTTTGGAATATTAATTAGTTAACAAAAGTAAACTTATTGTAGTTTTTTGGTAAGAAATTTTTCATGTAAAAATTTTTGAGTTTTTGTAATATAATATTATATATTAAGCAATATTAAGAAATAGGTATTGGATATATTGCTAGTGTTTTAAGTCAATAATATAAACAATATTGATATAAAGTTTAATTTTTGGAATAAAGAAACAGCTTACCAAGAAGAAAATTTATTTATTTAATAAAAAATATATATCCATAAGAAGCAAAAATAAAAAAAACTTTAAGAAAATTTATAAAGAAGTAATTGTTATAAGTCTTTCCTTATGCAATTCAAGAAAAGAGCAAAAGCTTCAAACTTGCTTTTTCTTGATCAGAGGTTCTATTTCAATGCATCAAGATACTTCTTTAGTTTTCTTGAGGTTTTTGTAATGAAGATAAAAAAGATATGTAAAACTTTTGGATATTGAAAAGTGAAAAAATATTTGTTTATTTAATTTTGAAATAAATTACTATAAAAAAAAATTTTTAAGAAAAAAAGTTATGTATAGAGTTATGTATAGGAAAAAGTTTTTTTCTTTTATTTTAATTTTTAATTCTTATATATTATTTTTTAAATTTAAATTTTTATTTTTTTATTTTTTATCATTTATTTATTTTTTTAATATTTTTATTTTTAATATTTTTATATTTTTATATTTTAACTGCTTTCTTATTTCTTATAATTTAAAATACCTATTATTTAATATATAATGTGTTGTAAAAACTTTTTAAAATTTTTATTTGTTTGTTATTTAAAAACTATTGTATAAAAAAAAGCCCTCTGTAGTCCATGCTCAAATATGAACACATCTTCATGATGTTAAGTTGATACTTGGGTTAGAATAAGGGCAGTGCGTCAATTAAACTAGACTGTTTATGTAATGATTATTTGTAATCTTTGATTTACAATAAAATCCTCACATGTATTATATTTTAGCTCTTAAAAAAAAAAACCACATTTTATAAATATTAATAAAAAATTTATTAAAATAAAATTTAAAATCTAAGACCTATGGATCTATAGCACAGTGGTAATGCTCCATAGGTCATCAGGAGAAGATCTAGGGTTCAACCCCGCCTGGTTACAAAAATTTATTACCTTCATGATTGGTTGACCGGTTTCCAATTCATATCATATCCAATCAGCCGACAAATCTATCTTCAAATTTAGTTAGGCTGCATAAAGATAGGACCTTTGGTTTTCCCAATGATCGTGGGCTGAAAACAGGTCGAAGCAAGAAAGGTTGCATAAGGAAAGGCTTCTGGTCTAACTCCGGTAATAAGCCCACAAACTCTAACCCAAACTGACGATGACAGACTCCATCACACAATATAAAGAGATTAATCCTAAACTGATCTATTCCAATCTGGAGCTTATAGATCATTTCAATAGTGGTGTTCCACAAAACTTAATTATATGGCCAATGGGCAAGGTATCAGCTACAGGTGATGAGAAGACTAAACAAAAATCGTTAAGTCAAGTGAGTCTAATAAGGATCTACAAGATTAAATCAGAATCCAAGCAAGAATGCCAGTTCCACAGGTGGTGAAAATGGTAGTGTTGCGCTATGCTAGTGGCACATCTTGAGGATCAGTAATAACAGGTGATTGGAATGACTGGGGTTAATCTCTATAATTAACATTTCATATACACTGCTCTTTGCAATAATGGACCAGCAGGTTTAGGCGGGTTTAAACTAGTGGTAGGATTCCTCCCCCTGCAAAAGTTCCACCTGACGTGTGGACACATCTACTTAATGTTGAACGTATAGTTAGGTAAAAAAAGTGGTTAGCGTAGCTAGTCTTATAGTAATATATATACTAGGCAGTATTAAACTGCAGATTAACTGTAGAAACATAAAGGATATTCATGTACTAACCGACTTCTGATTAGTTTGTAGAGACACTTGGTGTCTGTCTGGCAATAAAGATCATATGCCATGCACACATTCCACTTTAAAAAAAAAAAAATAAAATAAAATTTAAAACCTAAGAATTACAATTATCTATTTAATATTAAATGGAAAAAAATTAAAGTAATTAGATATTTGTTTAATAATATGGGTTCTGATCTATCAAAAAGGTGATTATCATTTTGGTTACACAAAAATTTTTTTTGTGTAAACATGTTTTCTGTAAAGAAAACTGCTAAAAATATGCTTATGCAAAAAAATTTTTTGTGTAACCAAAATGATAACTATCTTTTTGATAGATCAGAACCCATATATTTGAAAAAGTTGTATTTACTTTGGATAAAAGAGTTTGTAACTATAGTTAATATAATAATAGTTGAGATTTATATAGTAATAGAAAAAAAGTTGTTAAATAATTCTGATTTAATAATATTTTGAATAGTTATTTTATTGGAATATTAAAGAAATTATTGTTTTATTTAATACTGATAAAAAGAAAAATATTTATTATAACACAATAGAATATTTAAATTAATTTATATAAATAAGTTAGAACTTCTATTAATATTTCAATTCAATTAGAAAAATTAATAAAAAAGAAGATATTGTTAATAATATCATATACTAATTCTATTAATTATTATATATATAAGATTGATTTATAATTATTTTTAAAATAAAAAATATTAAAACTCTTTCTCAATCGCATCAAAACTACCAAATTAGGAAATACCCAAGAAAACAAAATTTCGTCTCAAGGAAAAA